TTTTTTTTTTTTTTTTTTTTTTTGGTGGAACCGGGGTTTGAACTCAGGCCCTTGCACTTGCCAGGGAAGCGCTTATTCCACTGAGCCCTGGCCCCCATTCTGATTTTTAAATAAGGTTCTGGATTTCTTAATTTTTTAAGGATTTTATGTATTTAGTACAGGGGCTACAGGGTTGGACTCGTAGTGATCCTCCTGTTTTCAGCCTCCCAAGCGCTGGGATTACAGGTGCACCATGCCCATTCTCAATCACCATCTCAGTGCGCCCCAGGGGAGGGGCAGCACAGCACATTGGGGATCAAATCCCAGTCTCTGTTCTGTATAAGCAGTTGCTTTAGTCCACTAAGCTATCTGGCCAGCTCTTGGGCTTCTTACTCTATCACTTTTGCCTTAGTATTTAATTTTTTGTTGTCAGTGCAGCTGTGGTACTTTCTTTTGATTCATGGTTCTTCAGTACAACTTATTTAGCTCATTTTCAGCCTGTCCATGCCCTTATGTTTTAAGTACAGTAGTTGTGATCAGTGAATGGAAAGGTATGTGAATTGTATCTCATATACACAGGTATCTGTAGATACAAAAACAGCCTGTAATTCACTTCACTTTTTCAGAAATATTTTATGGCTGATTTTGAGTACTATGGGGAACACTAAAGGCTTTTTCACTAGTCAAAAAAACAAGGATTCTACTATTATATAAGGGAATTGGCCAATGCAATTAGATAAGGGAAAGCAATAAAAGGCTTGACAAATGGGGATGGGGAAAGGGGACTATCACTATTACTAGCAAATAATGTACTAAATTGAAAGACCAGGATACTTACAAAACAAATTGAAGAATAAGAAAATATGGTAACATGTATCTAAAACTAAGAAGTTTTTATATAGTGACAATAATAAAAAGAAATAATGGGAGGAAACACAACAAAACATCATAAAGGTACCAGTTCTTCCCAAAATAATGTATTAATACATTCTTGTTGACAATACCTTTAGGGTTTTTTACTCCTAAATCAAAATAAGTTGATTATCACATCAAAAGTATGAGACTAAAAAGCTAATGAAAATTTGAGATAAGCACATAAAAGATACTATACAATAAGTTACATACAGCCAGGGAAATGGCTCAGTAGAATGAGCGCTTGTCTAGCAGGCACAAGGGCGAGTTCAATCCCTGGTTCTGCCAAACAAACAAATAAGTTATATGCAATTAATATATTCCCCCT